AAGCCTCTTGAATGAAAAGCATGCGTTTTGTAGACATTCATAAATATTATCTATGTTATAAAATTCGCACTAACGGGGTTAAATATTATAAATGGTATTGTAAAGACGCAAATTCTGTAACAAATAGTAAATTTTACATTAGACAGTATGAAACAAACCAGTTGAATACAATTTAATTGCGAAGACTTCGTTTAGGGAAGATAAATAGAAAAAGAAATAAAAATGGTAACTTTAATATACTGTTAAGACATATACAAAATAGAAAAAATCATTATTTAGACTTACGAAGCAGTGTAATTGTTTATGAAGATCCGATTCTTAAAACTAGTTAACAATAATAGACTAACAGACAAATATAATTAATAGACTTACATTACAAACAATCTTGCTTTTAAACGATGATAATGTTTCACCTTAACAACTACATTTTTTTTGTATTTATGAATATTGACAAGACTCAGATCGAATACCGCTTCAGCCAGTGCTAGGGGCGTAAGGGATGATGCACTTTTCAACTATCACTCATGAACAGACTCAGTCAAACCAAGTTTGCGGTTTTCATAGAGTTTTGTTGTTTTCATTGCTACCATGAGATCTATAATATTCCAGATTTTCTATTACAAAGTGCATTTACATTGCATGTTGTTTTGTCGTTCTTCCTTAGCTCTCCTAATGTTTTTCTGGTAAAATCATATATTTTGACGACTTTATAATTGGTATGTGTCCGTGAATCTCTATGGAATAGAATAGGAAAAGCAGATCAGCAAGGAAGGAATGAATGAACGCATCCCATAACACAGTGACACCGGCAAGAAGACCAGCAGGACACCATACGGGACATTTAACTGAAGATTTGTGTTTGTATTTTATTAAATATACATTGTATTATTCTAACAGAAATGGGTACAAGGACGCAACACAATTACCTCTCCGTCTGGTTACAAATATCTGATATGGTTCTATCCCGATTCCAGACTCATGTCTGAAAAATAAAATCAATAAAATTAAAAAATGCAATGTTTACTTTTTTTGTGCCGAAGCAACTTGAAAACCTCTTGCACGTTTTTTACGACCTGCTTATAAATACTTCATTTATATTAACCTATTCTACAAATGCATGCACAATGGTATAATTATCTTTCATAGGTTTACAAATAATATGTTAAAGTTTGACGATAGTCCCATGCCAAAGCGAACTTTAGACTTTAGACTTCATGCGCCTTGAAAATGATATCGTACACAGTCTCCTGTATCGCTAAAACAGCAAAATGAAACAGCAAAAACATCAATTTGCAGTGTGCATACAAGCACCTTGGTTCAATCTTAGAATTATATTAGATTAAGATCTATCAATAATCTCATCGAAATACAAGTGTTTTCCCCATTAATATATATAATTTCCCTGCCTCATATACCATATTTTAAAGATTTTATGTGTCTTTTATTTGAATTTATCTTTTTACATCTTGAACAGTTTGTCGTGAAAAGAGGCTTACTTAACATTATGATGTTAATAAAGGAAATTTTCCAGACGCGCTATCGTATCACTAATCAGATATAAATAACATGTTTCAAAAGTTGCAATCAATTATATCAACGATAAAATAAATAGGGTCTATACCTAGCTATGAGATCGCTTGTCTCTCAGAACCAAAACACAGTTGGTTCGAACACTGCACAATAGACGATTTATATATGGAAAATAAATAAACAGATAGTTTACTGAAACTGATTCAAGAAAATCACGGATTTATGTAATTAAGACCCGTGAGCAAATCAAGGACGAAACAAGCCCAAAATCACAACGATTTTCCCCCTTTGCCATTTGGTTTCTTTTGTCGTGTGTGTACATGTATGTGGCGTCCTTTGAGATACTGATCGCTGCTCGGATGTCAATTTATTACATTAATACGGATATATACCTTACTGTAGCATCAAATGATTGAATAAGTTTCAATGTCCAAAATGTCATATAACTTGATATGACATTCAGTATCTAACTCTGCAACACAAAATGCTTGGATCTTTGAAGTCATGGTAATGAGAAACATCGTACATGACCACGCCCGTTTAACTCACAACGAGTGAAAAATGTCCATCGGTAAAAATGTTGTGAGCAACTTCCGTTCCTCGTTGTGAGCACCCATCTTTGACGTGTGACACGATAAACAAGGTGAGTTTTTCATAATTTTTGAAGATTACAGACATTTATGTAAAAATATCGAAATGCAGTTAGCTAGCGATGTGTTTTCCGAGTATGCACATGTAAAGATATTGCCTGTTGGTGGACAATTTAATGGAAATACCGTGCGACGCAGTCACTTGGGGTAGCTGGAAAACTGGAGACAACTTCTCTTTGGACCTAATTTAACATTAAAAACGTCGATTCTGGTGACGTTTTGTGCATTCTAACCTAAAACAGATGCCCACAAGTCTTCAGCGTAAATTATTATCTGAAAGTCTTCATAGAAACGAAGATATACCCTTTTTTGCTTTAATCTTCGTTGTGAGCACCATAACCTCGTTGTGAGCAAGACAAGCGCAGTGCTTTTATGGTTTTGATCTGTAATTCAGATGGTGGAAATCTAATTTTCAATCTACCACAGCAATCTAAACGTTTTTGCACAGCAGCATTTCTTTGCAAGACGTTGTGCATACCCCAAAGGGAGGCATATTAGTTTTGAACTGTCCGTCAATCTGTCCGAAAACTTTAACATTGGTCATAACTTCCTTATTAGTAAACGGATTTGATTCATATTTGAACACAACATCCCTTACCACCTTCCTACGGACCTGTATTTTTTTTACCTTGACCCCTAAATGGCCTTTACCTTGAAGGTCAAATTGTCCAAAAACATTTAAGATTGGCCATAATGTCCTGGATAATGTTTAGGCACAACACATCTTTGGACAAGGCCTTTCAACTATCCTATATTCTTTTGACCTTGACCCCTGAATGACCTTCACCTTGAAGATCAAATTGTCCAAAAACTTAAAAATAGGTCATAACTTTCTTATTAGTATACGGATTCTACTCATATTTTGAAACAACACCCCTTTAGGCAAGACCTTCAAACTGATCTGTATTTTTTTTACCTTGTACCGTGAATGACCTTATAGAACATCCAAAAACTTTAACATTGGTCATAAGTTCTTTATAAGTAAGTGGAATTAATTCATATTTGGACACAATGCCCCTTTGGACAAGACCTTCCAACTGACCTATATTTATTTCACCTTGACCTTGAATTACCTTTACATTGAAGATCTAATTGTCCAAAAACAAATAGTCTATCTGGTCCATAAATCAAAAGGACAAAACACCACTTCAGGGCATTGTCAACTTACCGTGATAGTTCTTGTTTTACATAACTTGGTCAGTCTTCAGCTCAGGATAAACACATGTATGTGTGTATCACACAGATTGGGAAATTGTTGAAATGTTCATAAACACCCCGTGATGTTCACTCGTGCCACACTAGAGTATACGAAATAAAATACCTGATTTACCTCCACTGATTAGTTCTTCTGTTAATCTGATGACTTGTGAATATGAAGAATAATAATCAAAAAAAAAAAAAAAAAAAAAAAAAGAAAAAGAAAAACTATTGCAAAGAAAAACTATTGTACAAAAACGTTTTGATTGCTTTTGGCAGATTGAAAATTGTATTCTTGCCATTTGAATTACATATTAAAACCATAAAAGCACTGCGCTTGTCTTGCTCACAACGAGGTTATGGTGCTCACAACGAGGATTAAAGTAAAAAAGAGTATATCTTCGTTTCTACGAAGACTTTCAGATAATAATTTACGCTGAAGACTTGTGGGCATCTGTTTTAGGTTAGAATGCACAAAACGTCAACAGAATCGACGTTTTCAATGTTAAATTAGGTCTAAAGAGAAGTTGTCTCCAGTTTTCCAGCTACCCCGAGTGACTGCGTCGCACGGTATTTCCATCAAATTGTCCACCAACAGGCAATATCTTTACATGTGCATACTCGGAAAACACATCGCTAGCTAACTGCATTCCGATATTTTTACATAAATGTCTGTAATCTTCAAAAATTATGAAAAACTCACCTTGTTTATCGTGTCACTTGTCATAGATGGGTGCTCACAACGAGGAACGGAAGTTGCTCACAACATTTTTACCGATGGACATTTTTCACTCGTTGTGAGTTAAACGGGCGTGATGACAATACTAGCTCATTTAACTAATATAGGTGTATCCAACGGTATTTATAGACCTCCAAAGAGGTCCACGACCAAAATGGTCTAATACAAATGTATATGCCACAATGCCAAAAATGTTGATTTGGAACTGTAATGATACGTTTTTATGGTGCAAGAACCAATCTGAATGAAATAATAAACTGTAGAAAATTATGCTTTCAACAATGTAAACCAAAAGTGCAAACTTATAACAAGCAAGTCTTTCATTAAGTGTCTCCCCAACACTGTCAGCGAAATAATCATTGAATGTATATGTACCTTAAATCTAATGTGAATTGCTGAAATTATTATCACCATTCCATAAGTTACTACTATTAACATTAAAATTCTTGTCAAAACTTTTTAAACCAAACATTCTCATTGAACCCACGGTTAATGTTAGTATTGTCATCATCATAAAGCAAGCTTTGATTCCTACATTTTTTATCTTTGCACATTAGCTTAATTAAATGCCCCACGTTTATTCAGCTCAATAACATGTTCAATACATAAGTTTATCAATGCTCCTCCGAGGATTAATCTATGAAGGGTTCCCTGCTCCATTACTCCATTAACTGGGACCATAACTAATACTACATATGGATGTGCCTTTTGATAATGGGAAATATTTATGTCATCTTTTTAAATAATAATGATAAAATTCCTGGAAATTGGTCTTATTATCATTTCCAACAACTATAGTCATAGAGGTAACTGCTAAACATGTTACGTCTCCGCTAGGGGTTTCACATTAAAGGAAGATAGATATAGATACGAAAATTTTGAGTACGAATTATTAAAAATGGCGGCGCCCATGTACTGAAACGAAAAGGTAAATAATTACTCGTTATTATGTTATTAAGTTTTGATTAATGCAATCACCATCACAATATGCATTTAAGAACTAATCTCCAAACAAACTTAGCAGTTATCCTAGTCAATGATTGTTAAAAAAATCATACAAATACAAAATGTAAATTTGCAGTTCTTCCGGATATTTTTTATTCGGATAAGTACATGTAATTGAAAACACTGTGTTACAACGTCTCTTCCGTCTGTGTATGTTGATCCTACTGGTGTACATCCTTTGTAACGACATGGTAAGTGTTGTAAACGTCAAAAAAAGTATATTACATTATGATTTCAGTGTTGCATCTAGAATTTCAAAATTATGGGGGATTGTCCCCCACTCAATTGAAAAATATGGGGGATTTGAAAAAGATGTGGGGGACATACATTGACCTTACAATATGACATACCGAATAGAGTTCATTTATTTTACATTCAGGCATTTTTGACAGCTATCGTCCGCTCAAAAACGGAAGTAGAAAAAATAAAATATTGACGAATACTACAAAACACACGCGAGATGACTTAGTCGGCTGCTACACGCGATTTAGTATTTTAGTATTTTAGTCATAACCACAAGTGAAAACAAACATGGCTGAAGCGTTTAAGATACGATGAAGATAAACTGAATTAAGTTGAAAAGATTGTCAGATGCGGGACTTGGCGCGCACTGACTTCAATAAAATGCGCGATCTGCATAAAAAATGCGCAAATCGCGCAATTGCGCGGCCTAGATGCAACACTGGATTTCAATTTGGATTCCTCCGATCCCAGACTTGATGATGATCTAGTAAAATTAATAATGGGCTGAAAATACTGAAAATTTATGCTGAAAATGAGACAATAAGCTCTAGCCTCTACAGAACATGGTGAATTTTTCCCAAAAGAGAGTTTGAATTGTCTATACTTAACATGAATTTATTCTGTGACAGACTCATTAAATGTACAAACACCATATAGTTACTTTTTTAAAAATAGATAAAGCACTTATGTTTTGACAAAATTTAATATGAGTTTGAAAACTTGGATTAAGAGTAAGGCTTCTTCAGGTAACTATAATGTAATATGAAAAAGGCAAAGCCTCAAAGCGAGCTCGATGTACTTTTTACGTGAAATAGTATGAAACAATCTCAAATGCAGTGACGAGACGGAGTGCGTGTGACGTCACACGTACTGTGTTAAATATGACCCCGTCCCTGTCGTGAAATGAATAACGAGTTTTGAAAACGTTGATAAAACTTTGTTTGTTTTATTTCACTCTATAATTTTTCAAGCGAAATAAAGTTTATTTTAAGTGAAATAACTGTAAAACTTTAAACGTTTGCGACATTAAAATAGCGTACTTGATTTGTTTGTTTTGCACGTGCTGTTTGGCGCTACATTGTGATGTCACGTAAACAATACTTTAAACGTCTGTACAGCGTTAACGACTGAATAAAAGATATTGGTGTTCGGATTCATTTTCTTAGTTAGACCATTTTCTTTCATTCTAGATAATTTTTACAACAAAATTCGACAAAAAATTGTTTTTATTTTTCAGATTTCAAACAAAATGGCGCTTTCGATTTTCATTTTTTATACACAGCTTCCGTTATTCTGGTTCCCTGTCCAATTATGGTTCCCATAGATGTGCGCAGGTGACCAGTCTACACATCCGTTTTCAGTCAGAATTCCTCAGTTTTTACCGTTATCTTTAAATTCGAAAGGTTGCGATGTGTCCAATTTGGTACTTTGGACGAAAGTTTTCAAAACCATCACTTAGCAGGTACTCGCGTTACCGTAAAGCTCACTTTGCGAGCAGGCCCTTCGGGCCAGCTCGTCGAACTCGCTATTACTTTAGCTTGCTTTGTTGGAAAAAAAATGATTTGATTTTGATTGAGCTTTGTATTACTATGAGTACATGTTGTATTATAATCAATCAAAATCAAATCATTACTGTGTAAGTTAGTATTTGAATATGGGCAATGTTTTGTCAAAATATATTGACATGCCAAAGCTTGATTCTGAGATATTTTCGTTCTGGGGCAGAATGTCGCTTTGAGAGGCGAGATATTGCCCAGACACGAAAATCGCACAATATCTCGTCGCGCAGTACAATAAGTTGGACTAGGGCAATGTTCAGCATTGGCAATTATGTAGTTGCTCATTGTCATACATGTGAACTTTTTTCAATGTTCAAGAGGGAGAATTTACTGCAAAAAGAGGTAGATTTTTTAATTGACAATAGACATAGTAGGAAATTTGTAATGAAAAAGGGTGAGATTTCTTTTTTTTTTTAAAACACCCCTTATTCTAAGAAAAATAGTTAAAAATTTTGACAGGAGAAAGATGGTGTCTCCCGCTCAAATTGGGAGAGTTCACAGTCATGTATGCTTTGTTTTTATGCAACAGAACTGGGGTTACAATGGTTGTTTGTCTGTTCTCCTGTCTGGATCCATATCTTTAAATGGTTTAAGTGAAATGACGCTCACCAAATGTCATACACAAATAGTATGGCCCTTCTTTATTGAAAATAAGGCATTTTTAGCTCGACTATTCGAAGAATATGAGAGCTATTGTAGTCGCCCCGGCGTCGGCGTCGGCGTCGGCGTCGGCGTCGGCGTCAGCGTCCGCGTCGGCGTCTGCGTTGGTTAAAGTTTTTTGTAAAGTCAAATATCTCAATTATTACTTGAGATATTCAATTGAAACTTACAATACTTATTTATAGTAACAATATACATCAGATTGACAAGTTGGATAACTCTGCCTACAATATTGACAGAATTATGCCCCTTTTTAACTTAGAAAGTTTGGTTAAAGTTTTTTGTAAAGTCAAATATCTCAATTATTGCTTGAGATATTCAATTGAAACTTACAATACTTATTTATAGTAACAAGGTACATCAGATTGACAAGTTGGATAACTCTGCCTACAATATTGACAGAATTATGGCCCTTTTTAACTTAGAAATTTTGGTTAAAGTTTTTTGTAAAGTCAAATATCTCAATTATTGCTTGAGATATTCAATTGAAACTTACAATACTTATTTATAGTAACAAGGTACATCAGATTGACAAGTTGGATAACTCTGCCTACAATATTGACAGAATTATGCCCCTTTGGAACTTTGGTTAAAGTTTTTTTGTAAAGTCAAATATCTCAATTATTGCTTGAGATATTCAATTGAAATTTAAAACACTTTTTCATAGTAACAATGTACATCAGTTTGCAAAATTGCATAACTCTGCCAGCAATATTTGCAGAATTATTTGCCCCTTTGAAACTTAGAAATTTTAGTTAAAGGTTAAAGGTCTTCAAAGATATTTACTTGAAACTTTACACATGCAATTAGGGTCATAATTGGAGGGTCATAATTGTATGTCACTGACCAAGTTCCATAACTCTATCTTGCATTAAGGCTGATTCATATCCCCTTTTCTACTTAGTCTCTTGGTTAATGTTTACATGCAAGTTTTACATATCTCAATAACTTTTAAAGATATTTATTTAAAACTTCACATATGCATTTAGGGTCATAATTGTAGGTCACTGACAAAGATCCATAATTCTATCTTGCATTTAGGCTGATTTTTCTCCCCTTTTTCAACTTAGAAATTCATGGTAAAGTTTTGCTTGTAAGCTGTTTTCTCAATAATTGCTGAAGGGTTTGTGCCTTTTTTGGGACAATTTTATGCATTCATAATAATAAAGCAGTGATTTACTTCATAAAACATCTTAATAACAAGCCTTTGTACCATTTCTGTCAAATTTATGTATTCATAGGTAATTAGTATTATTATACTCAATAAAACACCCTTGTGACATTACCTTCCGAATAGTCAAGCCAATACTGTATAATTAGACTCTTCCTAAGGCCTAAAACATGAATTTATAAAAAAAATTAGCCCTTTTGTGAACTTAAAAAATTGAACATTATCAAGGCTCTTTTACTATCAAGCACTTAGAATAGTCGAGCATGCTGTCCTACCGACAGCTCTTGTTATATTGAACTATTATTAACAGTTGTGTTGATATAATGAAATTAAGCATGAATGTTTATAATAAGATACAATGTATTTTTGCTCCTTAAATACTGTTTAAATCTGAAGTCTTATAGAGTTTAACTTAGGAACCTTTGGGCCACTCTTAAAAAATTATCTGTTTGCTATTGCCGGCCGACCCAGCGGAATTGCCCCGACTCAAAAGTTTTTTCAGCTTAAAAAAATCAGATTTTTTTTTTATTTCCGCCAAATCAGCCAGGGCATTCGACCTAAAAAATTCTTTCGAATACAAAAATTAAAATCGGAGGAAAATCACACATTTAATATGTAAAGTAACTAGTGATCATTCATGAGGGCATTCTGTGCGTTACTATTTAAAGTATTTACATAAATAGCGACCAACCAGGGAAGGATATTTTCCTTACGTCACGCAGTACTGCATGCGCGCTAACTAATAATAGAACGTATCAAATTAAGTAATTTCAAAATAGGTACATGTATTTTAACCCTTTCGCTGCCAGAGGGTTATTGTGTTATTGATCACCTATTTGCCAGACGGTTTTCAAAGTAATAACTATATTATTAATTAATCTAATTATTATTATTTGTCATTAGTATTATAATAATTATATATGTTTCCAAATCTGTTAGTATAATAATAATTATTGTCGATGGTATAATCTTCTTTATATTTATTATTATTCTTATTGTTATTATTATTAATTTATTATTATTACTATTATTATTATAGAAACGGCTAAAACCGTCCTTATGGCAAATACGCCGAAAATAACAGGGACGGCATAAGCAGTGAAAGGGTTAAAGGAAAAGAGTATATCTCAAAACTGACATGGTTGATTTTAAAAGATGTTGACATGATATGTGTACATGTATTTCAATAAATAAAAGTAAAGATTCATATTGAATTTAGTCTTAAACCAGGTGTGTGTTTTTAGTTATGGCCCTTTATATATTTTTGAATAGCCATTTATTTTTCAAGGA